GCTGTGGTGTGATTACCTATTAGATTGTCTGTGTTGTGGGCACTTGCCCTTAAGTGGTTAGTGTAGAAATATACATGCTTTTCTTGTAGGTGGACATGTCCAAAGGGGGCGCTATAAATCATAAATAATAAAATTCTTGCATGACAGGTGCCGCTTAAAACCCCCCTAGCGATATGGCCAATAGGGTAGAAGCAGGTGCTTAGCACTTTAAGTGCTAGGTAAATTTTGGATGTGAGATATTACATCAATTGCTTTCTAATTCTGTTTTACAATTTTGAGTCTTTTACAATTTTCATATGTATTTGATAGAAGTAAGAATTGTATTAGACTAGTGGGGGTTTGGATTAAAAGAAGGGAGTGGAATAGAATGATGTACCTGCTGAAGGTGAAGCTCGATGTCCATTTAGAAGTCAAAGGCTTGAAGACCCCCTTTCCGCAACAAGTAGAGTATTTAATAAATTTGACTGGTTGTATAATGACTGACAACTAAGTTGTCAAATCTGGTTGTAATAACTCGGACTTTATAATTTATGTTCAGTTTGTTTAATTTTTACATTCAAGCATGTTTGATCTATTTACCTGATTGCGCAATAGAAATGCATGTTTTTCTTAGGTTTTTTTTTTCTTATTTTGCTTGGGGGTGGATTGGACATGTGAATACAATAGGCTATTAGGATAAAATAAATTTTCTACCCATTAAAATGTAACAATCTAAAAAATGAAATTAGGCTTCATGATTTTCTAACAAAAGAAAAATTGCATGGCTCTATTTCAAGTAGCCAAAATTTTCAAACTCAAAACAATCATGTATAGCTAAGAATGTGTCACATATAGAAAACCATCACTTAAGGACTAGACTATGATGCACCGACACTCCGTTTTAAGAGGCAATGCAATGTCGGACACATGTCGGACACGGACACGAGTCCGACACGGCACGGAAACGTGTCCGACACGTTTGATAGATGGAGGATGGATCCAAAAATGTGGTGGTTAATTCATGGAGCGTCGACACCTCTTCTTCAAACAATAGCAATAAAACTTTTTGGTCAAGTATCATCCTCTTCATGTTGTGAGAGAAATGGGAGCACATACTCATTTATTCAATCAATGAAAAGGAATAAAATAACTCCACAACGAGCTGAAAATTTAGTTTATGTGCATACAAATCTTCGTCTTCTATCAAGGAAAACCCTTCTTTATATGACAGGTGATAACAAGATGTGGGATGTTGCTGGAGATGGGTTCGAGTGCCTTGATGAAATGGGATTATTGGAGGTTGCAAATCTTTCTTTAGATGAACCAGAGTTGGAAGCAATGATATTCAATGATGATGATATTGAAGGCCAAAGACCAACATCTGCATCTAATTCTATCATTCCCTCTATTGAGTAGTTGAACTTTCATGTTGTATTAAATGGTTTTTTGGTTATATTTTTGTGGTTGTACTAGACATTTTGTACTAAACATCTTTATGTTATGAGCTAAACAAGTTATCATGACTTTGATTTAATATTGCTTGCCATTTTTAATATAATATTACCTTAATTTATATATATTATATTTAAAATTATTATGCCGTGTCCACGCCGCACCCGTGTCCTATATTTTTAAAAAATGTCATGTCCCGTGTCCGTGTCGTGTCGTGTCCGTGTCGCCGTGTCCGTGTCCGTGCATCCTAGGGACTAGATAACAAAAAAGTCTGCATTTTTGAGTCAACATTCTGCATACCCATCATAATTTGGCATCTTGGCCTCAAAGCCAAGTTATATGTCCTCTTTCTTAAACAAAAAAATCTCCTACTCTTCATATGCATTGAGGCAGAAAACAAGGTTTTATAAGCGATTATGTGGGTCTAGTTGGTAGCCCTTTTCTAGGTAGTGCAATAAATCCAGGGGTCGGGTTAGCTATGCCTCATGTAAGGTATAGTCTGTAAGTCCTTTTGTATTCTGTTAGACTTAGGTTGGAGGTACTACCTCTTGGTAGTCCTCACCTTAGTTTTAGGATTTGAGGCAATGGTTGATTCCAATCACCATACAAGTCCTCATCTTCCGGACAATTCCTCTAACATATGTTGTTGAAATGTAAGCCCCAACCTTCTAATGAAAATGTCAACTTAAACAAAAATTAGATTTCTAAAATGTAAAGCCCAACATAGGATAGTTTGAGTACCTCTGAGTTTCCTTCAAAATCAAGTACTCCTAAACTTCTTTCCTTTGGCCCTCATTCCAATAAATCTAATCTCAAGTTGATCCCTTATCTTCATTGAAATTTCTAAAGGCCAAAACCCTTTAAACAAGACACTCATGGATTCTCAAAAATCAAAATTTAGCCATCATCTAAATGACTTTCAAAAACAAGAAAACCACTAGTTTAATCAAAAGTCTTCTCAAGCACCGAAGCTTGAGATATAATTAATCATAGGGGCTTGCCCCTATGGGACGTCTATATCGCAGAATAAAATAAACCCTATTCAACCAAACATTGAATGAGAGAATCTCTGTTAATTTGTAAATTTTATCATTGAGTTCATAAGGAAATGATAGTTTTATTCTTCGGAGTAATATATCATCATTCTTATGCCGTACTCAATCATAAAGTATGCAATCTATTTGAGGACAACAAAATCTCCAACAGTGATTATTTTCAATTTTCAATCCATAAGACTCTCTATTAACTGCCATGATATGATTGATAATTATTTTTAGAAGGGTTATGTACTATTGCTGAGTTCACTAATACATATTTGGATTGGGGTTGATTTATGGAGTCTTACCCTGCAATCCCTGGAGTTTGTTTCTATGAGTCAAACATATGACCCATGCCACAAAGTATGCTACCTAAGCATTGCTTTAATGCTGTGTTTAAGTTTGCTCTATAATTATGATATTTTTCAATGTTCATTTGTTATATATATCATTATTAATTAGTTCTCCCATAACTTGATATATTTTTGTAAAACATAGCAACCCAACTTCTCTCTGAACACTTAATCTTAATAAATATCTTGTTGGACTTAAAGTTTTGCTTATGTGCATCCTTTTTTGAGGCATGCTTAATATGGTGAGAAGCTATTTCTTACAACAATATTTACTAGAATGTAGTAGCTATAAGAAAGTTGTTGTCTGACATTTTCAAAAAGAAAAAAATAATAATATCCACATTTGTTTTAAAAAAAATTATTTTCCCTACAACATCTCTATTACCTTTATAAAATGCTGCAGTTGCCTCAAATAGTCCCGAGTCCATGATTCAATAATTTCCTTATCAATAATTAGTTCAATAAAAATCATTTGGATTTAATTTCTTTTTAGTGGGGATATCTTTTATAGTTTTATCACATATTCATCCAACTTACATTTTTATTTCACTCAACTCAGCTACCTATTCTCTTTTTTTCCGCACATTTGGAAAAATTTTATGGCCAATCTAATTACAAATTTATGATATTCAATATTTGTAATTTTTTGTCCTATAAATCTTTATAATGGTCGTATAGCTACATAATATGACAAATTTTCTTGTATAAAATTCATCTAGCTGTCATTATGGAATACATAAATTTTAACCTTTCCTCAACTTCCCCAATTATTATAGTTATCATAGTTTATCACCTAGAAAGCATTAAGAAATTTCTCCAACATGCATCATGTGTTATTTGCTGACTTTTGAAAACTAAATTCTATGCATAGTGATGATTTTATGGCTGCAGCATGCGTTGCTAATAGTGCTTTGTGTTATTATAAATGAATTCAAATTTTAGTTGATATTTATATTGCATGATTTTTTCTCCCAACCTATTTATTAGAAACTACTTATTAAAGCCTTAATGCCTTATCAAGTCATTTGAATACTAGAAGCTATGAACTTGATTTGCCTATTGACATGATTATTAGTTCTATTTTGGCTATTTATTACCTAACAAAGTTTAGTACCTCCAATATTTTTTGTTGTTTTTGTTTTTGTAAGTGGAATGGGTAGCCCTTGTATTAGTCCTTATATTTATTTCTTTCACGTGAGATCGTTGATGCTCTTTATGCTTGTCATCCTCTAGTTCGTTTGAGGTACGTCCATTATTCAATGATCCATAATAGGTGAATTGCCTGCTAGTGGAGTTCCTTGCAGCCCCGGGTAACTGATGCTGATTGTGGCGCATTCTCTTAAGTTCAGTTCTGTTATGATTATATATAATCCTTGATATGTACCTTTTTCTTATTTTATCATGACTTATTTTATGTCATTTGGTCTCCATCCTTCATTTTTATTCCTGAGAATGGATGATTGATGATGAAAAAAATTCTATTGTCATTGATTGGAAGCTTGATATTAAGTGAACTGTAAAGTTTGAGGAGAGTTGGCATCACGCCGCGGAAAGTCAATGCCTCTTTTTTTTTATTCTATCCATTTTCTATCCTTTCTCATCTTCTTCTGGTTGTCCTGCATCACAACCCTTGCACATTTGTGATCAAAATTAGGCTTAGATCATTGCTTATTGCTTTATGAAATGGCACAGCAATAGGAAGTATCGAGTTAGGTTTAAAATTAAGGGTTTTGATAAAATAAAATAATTGACCATCAACCCAACATTATTTGGACTAAGCTTGGGCTGAGAACAATAGTTTTAAATTTTACTAATTACTTAATGATAAATGCCAATTCAGTTGTTTTGACTAAAGAAGATCATCTTGTAATAGCTCCCGTGGAAATTAATGCCATCTTTATGTGTTTCGTGCGTTTTGCAAACTTTTATTGATTAATTTATTTTGTTTCGGTCTTCCTAAACGTATCAGATACTTATTTTATGAAGCTACTTGTTATACAAGCTTGTCTTAGGAAATCTTAAATTTATCGAATTACTTGAACACCATCATAGCTATTGAAGTGATTTTTTTTTGTTTATTGAGCTAAAATGTTGCTAATCTGTATGCATTGGAATGGATTGTTTAAAAATCTATATTTTTGCGTGGGGTTTCTCTGTTAGCTTTATTGGTTTTGTACAGGATGGCTTAGAATTTGACGATACGGATAGTTTCACCTATTTGTTTAAAGCTTATTGGTTGGATCGGAAAGGAAAATTGTCATTGACACCTGAAGAACTGAATAATGCCAGACACCCATATTCAGTTGTTCCTGATGAGGATTCATCTGATGAATTATATGACGTTAATGAAGATCAGGGTTCTACTTCAGAAAGTTCATCAGATCATAAGAGCAACATTTCATCAAAGAAGAAAGTCAGAAGTCGTTCGCTGGCGGTTGCTGTTGAAAAAAATCCTGCAAAAGAAGTTGATGGTGGAGGAACAGTAATGCTTCAGGAAACTGTTTGGGCTTCAATGGAGCTCTTAGAGCTTGTGGCACACATGAGGAATGGAGATCAATCTTTTATATCTCAATTTGATGTTCAGGCACTGCTTCTTGACTATATAAAGAAATATAACCTTAGAGATCCTCGCCGGAAAAGTCAAATTATTTGTGATTTGAGACTTCGAAATCTCTTTGGGAAAGAAAGAGTAGGTCATTTTGAAATGCTGAAGCTACTAGAATCACATTTTCTTTCAAAGGAGGCACCACAAGTAGTTGAAGATGGTAATCAAGTGGAAACTTCAGATACTGATAATAAACTAACTGATGATGTTGAAGAAGATGATACATTTGCAAGAGTAGTTACTGATAAGAGACGGAAAAGCCGTAAAAGAACTGAAGAGATAGAACCGCAGATGAATGTTGATGATTATGCAGCAGTTGACGTTCATAACATAACCCTTATTTTCCTGCGCCGAAGCTTGCTGGAGGACTTGCTAGATGATGTTGAGACATTTAATGATAAAGTTGTTGGGTCCTTTGTGAGAATTAGGATATCGAATGCTGGTCAAAGGCAAGACTTGTATAGGCTCGTGCAAATTGTTGGTAAACTTCTGCCTGTCTTTCTGACTAGTGCTGTGGTAGGTACTGTTTAGTTATGGAGAGGCAATTATTTGTGTGCAGGAACTCAGGAAAGCTCAAAACCATATAAGGTTGGTAAGAAGACAACAGATATCGTGCTGGAGATACTAAATTTGAACAAGAAAGAGACGTCAACAATTGATAGTATCTCAAACCAGGATTTCACAGAGGTGAGTTATTCAATTTTCTCATAGTTTACTCAAGTTTTTATACTTGAATTTTTTTCGGGCGCAAGCTCATTTTTTATTTTTAGTCTTTTTATTTTCTAACTATGTTACCTTTAATCTTTCCCATATATAATATGTATTTAATTTCATTTTGATTATAGGCTAAAATAAATATTTTTAAATTCAGACAGAAGCTCTTAATACATGTGAGATTTGAAGATATAAAAAATTTCTCATACTTTTTTATTTGGTTTAAGTTAATTTCTCATGTAATCATGTTCTTATTAATTTTTTTTTTTATGTTCTTATTAATTTTTAATACACAAACAATATGTATTTGATGCACATGAAATTAAAGAAGTATTTTATAAGTTTATTTAATTTATTTTACATATTGTTTGCATATATTCTATGACAAATTTATAACATAAAAACAATTATAATTTAGACGACAACAACAACATCAAGCCTTTATCCCACTACGTGGGGTCGCCTACTTGAGTATTTCTTCTCAAATAAAAAATATGATGATCTTCTAAAACTTATGGATGCCAGATATTCATTATTAAGCATTATTAGATATTATTGTTGTAAATTTTTATTTTTTATTTTTTGAGATAATGTATATGTATAGGTGTTTAAAAAATATCTATTGTTTAATTATTTAATTCTATTATTAGATACCATATATATAATATGTTACCTTTACCCTCCTTGTGGAGGGTAAGGTATTTATATCTATTCGATTGTGGTCTAGGTGCTGATGCTTAATATGTATTCAATGGAAATATGAGGACATCAGACAAGTATGATGGTCGACCAATGCGACATCATGCTAGGTGGGTTTGATGTTCCCTAAAGTTGCGTGAAATCACTTGAGAAGATGTCCATTTGCAAAATCAACCTCACTGGCGTGTTCAAAATGACAAAATCACCTAAGAGGTGCCCTTCATGTGCAGCTCATGTAAATGGAGAAAATGACGAACTATGAGCGCAACGTTGCGTGAAAATGTTCAAATGATCTTCAATCGTCAAACAAACTGTGCCATGTATTTAGAATGTTGAAATTACCCTAGGAGGACTTCTCATGATCGACTCGAGTGATTGTGGTAAAAATGACAAGTTATGAGCATGATATTGCGAAAGTTGTTTGAATAGTTTATATTTGCAAAATAGACTAGTCCATCATGTTTGGAGTGCCCAAATTATTAAAAAAGGTCACTCATATTATTCGGGTACCTGTACGAGCAAAAAAATCCACTCATGTATGCGAAACTAGACAACGCACAAGCGATGAAATTTCTACGAGCAAAGTTTCAGAGCCTTAAAATAGCTATTTATCTATTAATTTATTTTTTATTTCTAAAATTAAATATTTAAATAATTAAAAAGTAATAAAAAATCAAATATTTCAAAAATTGGAATCTCTAGGACTCCAACCTTGTCCTTTGGTTGCAGATGAAAGGATACCTCTATCCTTTTTTTTCCTGATTTTTCTAATTAATAAAAAAAATAAAAATAACTAATATTCCTAATCCCCAACTCATTCCCTCATTTTCTCCCTTACTCATTCCCTCGCGTAATTCCACAACTATTTACTCCCTCATTTTTCTATCGACACATACCGATGCACACCCGAACTTACCCTAGCCTCCACACTCTCTAATCACTACCTAGCTTGGCCTCAACGCCCAGTCAAAACCTCCCTCACACGCAAAGCCTGCAGCCTGCTTGCACGCTCGACTATCCTCATCTAGGCTCTCTCCTGCTGCTCAACCCATCGACTTGACCACAACAGCTCCTAGGCTGGCCACCTCCCTAGCCGAGCTTTTCGGCCACTACCCGAGGCAGTCCTAGACCCACTACTGCTGACCAACTATCGATGCTAGCCTCATCCAGGGCATGCCTTTCCTCTACGTCCTCCTCATTCTCCCTCTCAACTTATCATCTCCCTTCTTTCTCTCTCTCGCTTCATCTTTATCTTCAACTTCTTTCTCTTCTTCTTCTTCTTTCTCCTCTTTGTTTGCCTCTCTCTTTTCTCAGATGCAATCATCGTGACGTTATCGACCCTATTTCTTTGAATGTCATAGATGATACAAATGAGTGGCTAACTGGCATAATGGATGAGTCGGATGAAGAGAATGAATTGGTTATTGGCAAGAAAGATTTGACACAAGTATTGTTTCAAAATTTATTGGTGTTATAACAAAAATTACAATATTCGAGATCGAAGCAAAGGCAAAGAGGAGTCTTCATCTAGGCTTTACTTTGTTGCTACTGAAAATGATTAAGATAAGGGTGATGAAGATGATTATGAAATAGGAGACAATGCTGATGAAAGAAATGAGACATTTTTTACCTTTGAAGATGATGATGGCTCATAAGAAGACTTATATTAATTTCTTGCAAAATCGACATGCTTGAAAAATAGTCACAGTATTTTGTATTTTAAAGGATTGATGCGTTAATTAGTTGAAATTAAGCATCTCTTTGATTTTTTTATACTCTAGGAAGCATAAAACCATTTTAAAAACAAAAAAAAAAAACATAATATATAAGGTTCATATCAAGAAGCGTGCAGTCGCTTCAAGAAGTACGAAGCTACTTCCAAAGTGTGTAGTTGCTCCTAGATGTGCACCACCACTTTAAAAACACACAAATCAAGCATATTGAAAATTGTGTGAATACGCCTTGCAGATGTACTAAAAAGTACAAGTTCATCGTGTAGGTGCACTAAAAAGTGCACATGTATATTAAAAAACATGCAAATATGCTATGCAAATGATTCGAAAGTGTTTAAGTGTATTGTGTTGGTGTACTAAAAAGTGCTTAAGCACATTGAAATGCACCATAAACATAAATGCATCATATAAATGAGCCAAAAGCACATAAATATATCAAAAGTGTCCAAGCATATTGTTAAAATGCATAAAAAAAGCATGGAATTGTATTGTGCAAGCGCACCAAAAAACGTGCATGCTATTTAAAAGAAATATCAAATTGCCGTATGTTGCTCTGACAAACATGCTAAATGTTCAATAATAAAGTTTGAGAATGCTACGCGTGCTAAGAACAATAAATTAAAACTTTCTATTTCAAAGAAGTGTAACCACTCCATGAAGTTTACTACTATTGTAATATTTGCAAACCCCTTTTAAAAAATTCAAAATTTTAACATGCTAAATTTTCATTTATAAATTTTTAGAAAGTTGGTAGATAAAAAAGAAGTTAAACTAAAATTCTCATTTTTGAAATTGTGCAATAAGTCTATAAAGCTTGCAATCATTTTCAAAATTACAAACTCTTTTTTAAATCCATACCTACCCGCATGTGCTCTTACCAAACACTCCAAACTCTTAAAGTGATGTTCGAGAATGTTATATGGTTTAAAAATAAAATAAATCAAATCTCTCCTGCTTTGAAAAGTGCATAATCACTCTATTATTTTATAATTTGCACATCTCTTTTTAAATCCAAAACACTCATATATTCTCTAACTAACATGCTAAATTTTTAAGCCCAAAGTTTGGGAATACTGCAAGTGTTAAGAATAAGTTGAATTAAGATTCTCTCACCTTAAAAGTCGTGCAATTATTCTATAAAGATATTGCAAACTTCTAAAAACATATGCTTCAACAAATGTATTAAATGACTAAATATGAAAGTATGAGGATGCTGCGCAGACTAAAATTAAGAAGATATTTGAATTAAACCACATTGAAAATTGTGCAACTTTCTTTGAAAAAAATGAATAACCATTTTAAAAATATGCAAACTTTCCCTTAAGTACAAAAATCAAACTTATTTCTATATGATGTTTCTCGGCAAATTGCCTTGCCTATAGGGTACGGTTGCGAATTTCTAATTGCAAGTTCGATCCTCTTCATAAGGACTAAAGTTGATGATACTTGAACCCTATAACGAATGACTACATAGCAAGTTCAAAGTGACTATACATACATACATACATACATACATACACATATACATTAGGCCATCACTACGAAGACAAAAAAATTTAGTCTCTCTAAGTTACCTCTTCTACATGATGTCTCATAAAGTTGCTCTATGAACCTAGTCCTCTGTTAACAAGTGAGCAGAGTTGATAAGGTTCAAATCATAGAATTGAATTTTTAGAAGTCTCGATAAAGGTCTCGGATTGCATTTTTTAAATTGCACCTAAATCCCAATGTTGATCATTTTGAAGCCAAGTTCAGATTGAAAATATGAAAATAAAAATACAAAATTCAAAATTTTCAAATAAAGTCTGCCACCCATAAACTTAAAGCAAAAAATCTATCCTCTATAATTGTTTGTTAAGGGTGATAATTTTGAGAATAATCTTAGCTCATAAAGAGTTGATGTCTTATTGAGCGTATTGTTGGAATTATTTTCAAACGATCTTGCTAGTAAAGATATGAGACATTCTTAAACGGGTAATTTTTTTGCTCAATAACACCATAGATAAGCATTTATGGCCGAGATCCTTTGATTGGGTGGTTTCATCGCAAATTAACATTTGTTAAAATTGTGGTCTGGGTCAGAGTCCGTAATTTTCTCAATGGTTAAAATTCTTGAGTTATGAATCATATATTGCTCTTGATAAGATACAATCTTTTATTAGCTAAGGTCAACTTAAATTTATCATCTTAGACAAGCATCTATCTTGGGTCTATAAGGTTCTCTTAGACAAAGCACCCATGATTGTTGATAAGGATCATTTGATTATGTTGGGTTGACTAGCTCCTCTAACTAAGTTGATTAGCATCTGCAATAACTTGGGAAGATGGAGTTATATGATCTTAATCGATTTTGTCATCATTCCCTCCACTATTTTCTTCAAGTGTAAAGTGATAACTTTCAAATCATATATTAAACTGTTGTTGTTATATGCCAAGCATTTAGTGTTTATCTAAGAATTGATCTTTATTGAATTTTCTCTTTCATCATCAGGAGCGATAAGTAACTATAGGGGCTCGTACCTATAGGAAACGTAAAACCCG